CGCAACGCCTCAGGAACCGGTGTAGCTTAGTGTCATGCTCTTCTTCGGTAGAACCGTAAATCAGAACGTCATCTGCCACACAGGTTACGCCATCTAAATCATCTATTGCTTGCACCAAACGCTTTTGGAAAATTTCGCTAGACACCTTCAGGCCAAACGGTAATCGCAGCCAACGATAACGTCCGAACGGTGTAGCAAATGTGGTGAGGAAACTGGATTCGTCGTCTAGAACAACGTGCCAGAATGCGGAAGAAAGGTCTACTTTCGTGAAAAACTTAGCTTTTGTCAAACGTGGTAAAACATCTTCTAACGTCGGTAGCGCATAATGTTCTCTACGCAGGGCCTCATTCAGTGGCTTCGGGTCTATACATACGCGTAGTTCGCCATTTTTCTTCGTAATGATTGCGACCTGGCTAACCCAGTCTGTTGGCTCATCAACCTTTGCAATCACACCCTGCATAACCAGCTTGTTCAATTCCGCGGAAAATCGGTCACGTAGCGCAAATGGGACTCTCCTAGCAGGTAACGCAATCGGGCGTACCAAAGGATCTAACGACAGGTGAGCGGTACCCTCAAATTCCCCTAAACCCGGGCTAAACACAGACGGATACAGGTCACTAACATCGGCTTCACTCTGACAAGCGTACACAAAACGATCATGGTTAAAAATGACAAAGCCAAGAGATAAAATCGAATCAATGCCGAGAATCGGCGTGAGATCCTCATCCACGATCACGAACTGCAGACGATGCGAAACACCGTCTCTCGGATTGACCACTTCAATTGTCGCTGAGCCCTTTGGCTTGAGTCTGGAACCATTCCACATGCGCAAATAATCTTGATCCGATTGAATTTGCACGCCGCGGCAGTGCTTTCTGGGCAAAATATTGATCGTCGCGCCTGTGTCTAACTGGAATCGCACAGACCGTCCCTCGATCAGAAGACTTGCATAGACACACTTCTGCGACGCTTTCCGAGACACGTTACCAATCGATTGTTCGGTGTCTTCTGTTGATTTGTCTGGAACGAGTGCACTGACATCTGTCGACTGACAGCAGCGGGCGAAGTGATTGCGCTTCCCACATTTGACACAAATGCGGCCCCACGCCGGACACTGTTCGCGGTTCCTCGGATGTCGTGTTGCACAGAAGTTGCAGGGCTCCTGTCGCGCGGTCGTGGCCCTCGTAGTTTTGCTCCTGGAAACGGCGCACAACTCTGAATCACCTGTGATTGTCATCTGCTGGAACTGATAGGCAGTGGAGGACTCACTGTTACAGATGTCGATACATTGCTGCAGAGATAGGTTGCGCTTTCGTAATAGTCGCTTCGTCAAACCTTCGTCATTGATCCCAAGAACAATGCGGTCCCGTATGAGACTGTCCGCCATGCATTTACAGAAACTGCAGGATCGGGCCAAAATCTTTAGCTCAGTGACGTACGTGTCAACGGATTCACCTGGCCGCCTGTTCCGCGAAAAGAAGAGGTAGCGTTGAAATGTCTCGTTTGTTTGGCCTTCGCAGTATTCACTGAACTTCTCAAGAACTGTCTCCAGATTGTTGGCATCTTCGCTCTTGTCGTAACACAATGTCTCTAGCACGCGGCGCGCATCATCTCCTGCTGCGTGTCGAAACATGGCCAAGCGGTACGCCATCGGTTGTTTGTCCAGACGCGATAAAGTGCAGAAATCCATCCATTTGCTCTTCCACAAACGCCAGTTGCTTGCCAAACTGCGTTCATCCATGTTCAGCGGGGCAGGCATTTGAATAGCCGGTGCAGCTCCAATCATCGTCTGGGTGGTACTAATGTTCTTCTCCTTCTCTGACACCATGTAAAAAGTCGGTCCTTCAGGGACAAAACGTATATTCTGCAAACAACAGGACCAGGCGAAAACGCAGGCATAGGGCGAGTGAAACATATCGGTATATACAGCTAGTTGGATCCATAATTAACGACCTTTGTGAATGCATGACATTTTTCCTTTGATTCAGTCAAACAAACTCACTCCAATGCGTCCCACTGTTGGCCAATCAGCGTGCATGCGAGAAACGTGTGAACGTCCTATCAGCTGCCGCCTTTCCTTGCGGCAGCCTAACGGCTTCCTTGCTGGGCTGGCACCGCACGTTCGTTCGAGTGTATACTCCCATCACAATGGAACTTCGGTGGACACATGAGGGCTCCACAGCATTCACTTAAACACTTTTCACTTTATCATGCAATTTAATTTTCGCAATACTTTCCATCCCACGGAAATTGTTAAGCATTGCTTTTTTACCCGTAATACACCGTTGTTCCATTGTTATTTGCCAGGTGGTGTCATCGCTGTCAAATATCAGCCAAGATGCACTAAGTAACTGTCACTACACAGTAATGATCATGTTTCGCGTCTCTTGCTTTAACTCGAATATCAAAATCTGGGAGGCAACTCCTTGAAACTGTTGGAATAGCACGGCAGCCTGGAATGCCGCTGGAATCCCTTCCCTCTTCATGTATTCCGTTCTTGGGACACTCGTATAAACAGTCTCTTTTTGCCGACGCCTACTACATTTATAAGACGAATTCGGTCTCCCACATTTCGTCACTTCCACTATCTTTACTTTTGTTTCCGAGATAAAAATTCGGCTTTTCTAGCAAATACGACCAATTAGAATAATATAAAAATGGTATATTCCCCTACGATATGAGGCACAGTTTAACTAAGTAGTCTAGTTATTTTGTACAGCGGGCTCTCATAAAAGAAGAAACTGTTCAAGTTCCATTCAGAAGATCGCAAACAATGCTTATAGAGTGATCGACATTTTAAAGGTATTAGGGAAATTGAGAAACTGGGAATAATAACAAGCACAAATAATGCACAAACTGAGTCAGTCAGTTTCGAAATTGCTCAGGTGGTCAGAGGACCTGTTTGCGTCAGCATACTTGTGAAATACCTGCTACCTCCCATAAGTCTTGCTTTTTTTGCTATTTTGGATTTTGTGATGTACTTAACATTTGTACCTCAAATTTGACGCTTTGCAAACCAGACCAATCGTTTCGTAAATTAAACTAGACTCAGTTCATTATTTAAGCGACATGTGCATCTTACTACCAAAGAAGAGTGAAGAAGGCATCTGGATGATATCCAAGATCCATTGCAGTCAGGCTAATGTAAGAAAGTCAATGCAAGAATGTGTTTTATATACCCAGGGCGTACGAATATTCATCTGTAACACAACATTTAAGCGATGTAGCTTTATATAGACAGATTTCAAAAAGCTGCGTTGATAAATGGATCACACAATCCATCATGTTGTAAACTAGTTGGTTATTTCTCAGCCGATTTTATCAAGGTCATCAAAAATCGCGCTAGATAATATATAACTGATGAACAGTAAGCTCATGTTCGGTCATGTATGGATTTGTGCTTCTGTCTGGTGAGGTAGACGCACATTCCGATAATACACAAAGAAGAGTGAATTATTTCGGTAAGTGCTGTTGACGCTTGCCTCTTGCCAGAACCGACACGAGTGGACACAAGTCTATCAACAAAAGTTAACTTTGACACCTCGCGGCAGGTGTTTTAACTACTTGGAGATATATTTGAAGTAATTTATCAGCATGAAAAATCACTACTGAGCAATACGTCCAATGTGAAAGCACACAGACAGTGACAATGCAAATTATCAAATCAGGGGGGCAGAGAAAGGTGGCAGACGTGAGGCGTAGAATAATGATCTCATGACTTCTGAAATCAAAGCTCGCATCCCATCCTGTGTCGGTGTAAGGTTACTCAATCTGGTCCGAACAGATGAAGTACGGAACCAGATCCACGTGTCCGCGTAACGTGTCTGGTGGGAACACCGCGTGAGCAATGAGCGTGTTCGGCGTCGCGTATTTGGTGCAGGAAGAGCGAGTGAACCGCTCAGCACGATTATATCACGCACCAGGCTCCGATGGCTGGGCCACGTGTTGCGCATGCCAGCACACCGACTCCCACGACGTGCATTGTTTGCGCGTTGTGGGTGCCGTTGAAAGAGGAGGAGGGGAGGCCAAGTGATGACTTGGTCGAGAGAAATGAAATCCCTCACTTCGAAGTTGGCGTCGGTTGGTGCATCCCGACTGCCTGGCTGGGGTCCTAAGGACGGTGAACACGTTTGGTTGGACACACTTGCTGATATGGCTAGGAGCCGGCCCCAATGGCGTTTGTGTTGTGAGTTCCTTTGTCCTTCCCCCTCCTGTTTAGCATCCCCCTCCAATCACGATCTCAATCGTTAGGCATAATATGACTTTCTTTTACGGCAGCCAGCTGTTAGCTCTCCGGAACGATGTCCATCCGTTACTGGGGACTCAGCGGGCGTGCCACTGTTTGTTTTTTTTCTTTTCTTGCCTTTTGTATTGCGGCACGATAGCTGAGGTGTTTTCCACCTCCAGCTAACGTGTAATGATGATGATGATGTCCGCGTAACGTATTATAATGGTTGTGTTTTTGCATATTGCCTGGTTACTGCACGAGAACAACTCTCCTCCAATAAATGCTTGTTTATTTAACCGATTGCCGGTTCAGAAGCATAACTTATCAGCAGCTACCATATATTTCTGCCTGGTTTGTGATCAACAGAATCAAGCCTATCTAGTGGTCGAATTGTTTGGCTTAAAATATTACCTTTACTGGTTCTGACCCCAAATGGACTCCACATTGGCGGAGCACAAACAGGCTTGGAACCGTTCACATTAAGCACTTCGTTTTGGACAAAATGTGCTGGATATTCCTTTATTTTGTGAATACTGCCTCTGGGTTCTTCTTGGCCATGATATACCCCGAAGCAAATCCAAATGTTGCACAAGATCGTACGTCACATTCCTGTCGAAGAATGGTATATAGACTATTCTTGTGGTATATCTTAGAGCGCTAAGCCTAAGCTTGCCCTTACCCTATGAGGAGCCACAGAGTGCACTCAGTGCAATGTGCGAATATAGAGCTAAATTATGCATGAAATTGTTACACATAGCCTAGTGATACTTACTTGGTATAATAATGTGTTCCATATCTCTTTTCGCTGTTAGGATGTCTCGAATCGTCACTCTCGCGACACCGACTTCTTCGCACTCAGCAGCTTGTGTGACCGCGGGATCCGTAACAATGGTGAAAGCCAGCTTGTCACTGTTCGGGTCTTGAGACCAGAGATAGGTTGCCAGATGCTGTCTTCGTTCGAAATTTTCAGCAGGATCGACAGAAAACGCTGTCCAACGCGAAAAAATTTGAAATGTAATCGTGGTGAATTGGGACGGTCCAAACGCACTCACTAAATTTATGGGCGGTATATCCATATTACGTTGACCAAACTTGATTCACTTAGTTGGTTACTTTCAGAGGCGCGTATCCGACTACGTGGACATTTATTTTATCAGTGTGCATACGATGGTTGCTTGTTTATACTAGTCTACAACACTTTAAACGCAGTAGAATATTTCAGCTGACCAATCCGTTGCACCTATTGCTCCCTATATCTGTGCATACACCCTTTCGGCTTTGATGCCGAAGCCAATACAATTAGCAACTCGCTACGAAGCGTCCATCAGATCATCGCAAACTTAAATGTCTAAGTACTGTCTTGTTCGATCCCACAGTCGCAGCCGTGACCTACCATCTTGATCCCATTCGATGAAGTAGTTCCAAGACCAGAAGTGCGGGTTTATCTTCTTCCACTTCACTCCGCAACTTGCTTCACCTTTGCTTGAACTTCTCACCTGGAGATGGCAGGAGACACCGCGTATGCGGTCAGATGCCTTCACCGATACTTTACTGAGTTGGTAAGGCGTCGTGATCGATGCACACGGGGTCACTCCAATGATCCCAACAACGAGCTATCGGTCTATTTCGCAGACCCGAAAACATGCCTTTCTGTCATTGTTTAGCTAGACCACCTAGATTTTTGTGGTTCTAAACACGGTAGTTATCATCACTTTTCATCATACATTGTCAGGCTGCTCTCTGCTTGATACCTACACCTTAATTTGGTCCACATGTCATAGTGTAAGCAGATCCATCAAGCAGTTTACTGTCCCTTCTTTGAAGCTGATTTGATCGCACTACATCTTAGACATGCTCACGAACAATGCAAACACTCTGAGGTTGGCAGGTCAGCTAAATGTGACAATCGAGGTGCAAAGGTTACACGACCTCGTTGCTGACACACATTACACGAGTATGGACCGATTTAGACCCACATGTGGCTCAAATTATTTAGGATGAGAATAAACTGTTCTGCTTGCCTAAACCCATTTCACGTTAGGCTTTTGAGTGTCTGCTGTATGCTTCCGTTGCAACACGCGTACTCTAAATATGGCTTTAGGTTAAAGTGATCATCGCGACTCCTACAATGTTATGTGGTGTTGGAAACATTTCGTTTTTCTCTTCTTAAAGTTGCACTTCACGACCGACTCTCAAAGGCAATCTTTCGGTGCGCAATCAGGATGCTGTGATAAGCATTCGTGATACCTAATCGCTATGACTGTTGTGGAGACATATTGTAGGGGCGCGGATCTCAGTTCACACGGAAATGCCCCGGAAGCAGCAGGAGATCGGGACTAACGCGGAGACTGGAAACGGGAATCGTCAACCCAACTCGTGGCCTACGATGCAAGCCGGGAATGGGTCGTCAGCGACAAACGATACCGCGGCCACGCCGAGAAGAACAAGAGGCGACATGAAAGGGAGCCTGATTTTCCCAAGAGATATGCCTTTATCTACGGCCCCAGGAATCGGCCCGACCAGAGCAACACAGCCCCGAGCAAGCAAGTCGAGAGCTTTGGTACGAATCCAGTCTGGATAAGCTGCGACGCAAGGGAGCAGAAATGTGGGCGGAAAACGGCACATTCAATGTCCACGTCGGATCAGCCTAATGGCGCTTAGTGGACACCACTTCACTCGACGGAACGTGGTGCGTCGTAAGTGGGAAACGCGGCTATATTTGTGTGTGTGCGTGGGACATGTGTGTGAACCTCTCAGCGTGCAATAAACAGCGTTCCCCCCTACCGTGTCGTTCTCGCTACAATATTTTTTGATGACAGGATGTTTAACTCACTGTCATGTGTTTCTGGGTACCTATTCCATTGTACTCATCCCCATATAATGAACTTGAGTGATGAGATTGTTGGGAAAACCGGGTTTTTACAAGAACCTCTTTCTCGCAGCTCAGAGCCGTCTTGACTGGCTAAATGACGCCACCTACATATGATGAAACTCGCACTCGGCTGCTTCACAGATGACTGCAGGATGAGTCTCATTCTGCAGCAATGCAACACGGAGTATTTGAGCCTCTTGCATGCGAAACATGATACCGCGATGCCCCGCCAGGTTGGCTTGCTACAGTTAGCACAGTTGAATCCAACCAATTTAGCTCCCGAAGTCCAAAAAACTTTGCATCACACCGGGAACCACCGTCTCCCTGCTAGCGTTTCGCAGAAGTTGCCGCTCCGAAACTCACAGGCTATTGATTTTTCTCCAACAACATGCTCTTCTTGCTATACTACTTCAGTCAGAATCGTTCGAGCCAGCATCTATAAGTTTCATAGAAAGAACTCACACATCTGGAAGGCACTTGGTACCCAGATTAACAACTGAAAATGTGCAGCGGACGTTATGGGCGTCCACTTGGAGATCTCATAACGATGAATCAGATCATAAAAATCCAAACCATCCATGTCACTTTCTCTTGAAGCTTAGTCAAAACACATCTTCAAGCAGTCATCAGTTTAAATTGGCCACGCAGAACAGCCGACTGGAAGGTCCACAAAAGTGTTTTCCCTCCCAGTGTCACAGTCCTAGAGCGCCCTTCCGGTGCATGTAATTAATGCTCCCACCTTATCCCTACTCACAGACCCCTTGACAATACCCTGGCACATCTAAACTATGTGATATAACCCATGACGCTTAGATGATGGCATTAGTGCAGAACAAACAGTGGACGGTGTTATAACTATCCTAAACTCCAGGCAGGAATACTCGCACATGTGCTACTGCAGACCTCTTAGTGAGTCAAGTATTTCACACATTCTCTTAATGACACTGTTTTTTACTTGTAATTTTCACCCTAACCATTCCACAGGATATGCCAAGGATTTGCTTTTATACTCGTCATAAACCATTTCTCCATTACGCCCTCACGTTAAGTACGCCATCTCAAAATTGGCCGAAGCGTCATTTAACTGAACTAAATATTCCGCAGTGAAGTGGAAAAAGGGTTGTTAGTGAACTGCGTCATTTCATTTTCAAGAGGTGTCACGCGTCTGTGGCTGAATGCCTCATGATAAGCTCTTAGCAGTGCATTAGGTAGTTAGAAATTGGATGTTGCCCTCCCGAAAACACTGCACTCCCATGACACGTTTCGATCTCATCAGATAGAGGCAGCAGGCATCGAACCGGGGACCATTGGGATTTTAGTTGTAACCGCTACCGCTAAACCACCGGGTCACGACGGGTAACACTTGACATAACGGTTAAAGACTGGCATTGAGTCCTTTTGAGGGATATGTTGTGTGGGTGAATTACAACACGCAATTTCGATGTTGACCGCGATTCCCATTGAAGTGAAGCTTAGTCTTCTGATCATAAGGTAATACATGTATCAGGGAAATTATCGTAAATGTGCCTGGGAAAAGGAGCAAATGAAAGCGACGAATCATGATGACTTAAACTGTTTTATTTGCCTGCTTATCGCTAGCATCGGCACTAGTTCATTCGAGTGACCCATGGAACCCATCTATGAAGCTGGACACGCAAGGGACAGATAAACTTATTCCAGCTATTCCTATTGTAGTTTCTGTGATATTCTTTTAAAAGACTATACCACTAGCTGATCTCAGTAGGAAGGTCAACCTTAAGTGGAACTGACATTGGCAGTAGGTTCTGCTTCGACAGCCAATTGGTCCACCAACACGTGCACAGCTTTTACTACAAACTACTGGTAGTTACCTCTGCACAGGAATCCAAGGGACATTGTGAATATCATGATCTACTGCTTAATGCCCTCATGGTATTGGTAGAATTCGGATGGACTATCCTGTTATATCAATCTACGAACTTGAGATCTGTTACGATGAGCTGGGTCGAATGTACACATCTTCATCGATTTGGTAGCGGTAACTAACACTATGAACTCACACTTTTCGTACTCCAATTCAGCCACAAATATCGTCGCTCCTAAATCAGTATTTAGTGCAAGCAGCGGAGCAGATGATGTTTCAAATGGTTCCGGTGATCCCAGGAAGAAATATTCAACAAAAATTTTGTCATGCTCATTGTTCTTCATTTGATCCGGCAACTCGGCGAACTCCACGCGATGCAATCTAATCCTGACATGATTTTCGTCAATTTCACTACACTTTGCGATTGTCCTTCCTTTTGTGTTCATCACAGAGTCTTCATCCATCTTTTTGGATGAGGTAGAATGACGTACTCGAGACTGTCTAAAGTCTGAAATCGCATTCTTATCGCCGGAACGTGATCCCTTCTGACCACCATGGTCTCGGTGTCTGGGTAACGGTGTTGGCATACCTAGATTTACAGATTTAAAAGGACAAGTACGGTCAGATTGGAAAACCACATCAAGCATTCGGTAGAGCACGATAGATTCACACGAACTTAGCCTACGAAGACCGAAATGAACTCAGGGTATCTGCTCAAAATCAGTTATTCACGAGTAGCAGGGTTAGATATAGTGTATATAAATTTGAATCAATATTCCATTGTGACTTAATTTCAATGATCATATCCTGTTGTGAATTCTATACCATTAGTTTGAGTTCGATGCAATCTATGCGCTGTCTGTTCGCTACGCTCGGTCAGGCCCATACCTGCCCGACTGACCAATTTGACCTTTATTCAGACTAGATCGCATCAATGCTGCATGTTATATTCATCCTGTGCACATGTGATGGACTCACATGTGCAGCAGTTGATTGACTTACTGTTTGCTGATCCCGTATAAGTTCAGTTCTTCGAAATAGGTAACCATCATAACAATTAGTAGGACGAAAGTCATTAGTTTATCACTTGCTTAATTTCAGCTAAATCGGGCAACGACTTAGACCTCACTTCTACACCCAAGACTTCGCTGCACTTATGGGTTTCGGATGCTGAGGTTGCAATTCTTATTGGAATGCTGCCTTTTTGAAGTCACCGCTTTAGCAGTGGTGGTTGTGTCATCCTGTACAATCGTATTGACATAAAGTGTGAGGAAGTGGAAGATCAGGAAATGCGGGTCGCTGACTCGCTATAGTGTCATTGTTATTTAGGATAGGGAGACCACTGCTTCTTGGCAGCTGTTTATCGACTTCCTGTTGTCAATTCCAGATATGGATTCTCTTCTGACATAAGCCTTAACAACATTTTACATCCAAAGTCAGCCACCTCATTATTTTAAATATTTTATGCACACTATGGACTGTCCAGCACTGCAAGCGGAAATAGCACGGCCGAGGTGCAAAGATAGATCGTAAGCATTCCAATGTGCAAACACACCAACTCGCCAACAATGTACACGGTAAACAACAAACCATATATATCAGACTTATGCTTATAATGAGACACTCATGATCGTCAAGCCATTACTAAAGGATCTCGAAATTTCATTGAGCATGTAACCATGAATTGTAGCTAGTTGCGACCGAATATCCGAAGGAACATAGTGAGTCGATGCGTATCATTACATGCTTCAATATTCTTACAGATGCTGTTGACATGAGCGTTTGAGCATCCTTCAGAAGCGACTCTCCTGACAGTCAGTATCTCGATGCAGTTTGTTGCAAGTTTCAACAATTTGCTTGCAAATACTTCGGAAAGTATCTCAGTTCGTTTCATCAAGGCACAGTCGTTGATATGAACAATGAATAATGAATTTATACGGATTAAGAAGCGTTGCTTTACAAGTCCCGTTGGATAGTTGGTGGGGATATCAACATAACAATAATGATGATAAGGATAGTAAAATAGTTAATACATTAAATATGAAAATAAGGACTTATCGTTTGCTTCGCTGCAGTCCTGCGATCCACTTAGATTCACAACACCCACAGTTAACAACAAATAATTCCAGAGTAAACTCCAGGTGTAGGATGGAGACATAGTGTTAAGTAACAAAGTGTAAGTGGATGAGTGCATCGTCCAACCGTCTTTTAAATATTGTTAGTGTCGGTGCAGAAACGACCGATTCTGGGAGAGCATTCCACGGGTGACAGACACGGATGGAAAAGAAATTTCTGCGGCACTCCAGACGACTGTATTGTTCTGCGAGTTTTAATGAGTGGCCCCTCATGTTTGTATTGCTGCTGAGTTGCACTAAAGGGCGGCACACATGATATGGGTCTCGCAGAATCAAGTATGCCATAATCAGGTCGCCTCGTAGTCTGCGATAGCTTCCACTGAACAATCCTAATCGTCGCAGCCTCTCCTGGTAGGACCGATTGCGCATTCCAATTACCTTCTTAGATGCCCGGCGTTGTAGCTGCTCCAGTGCATTAAGGTCGTGTTTTAGCCATGGATGCCAGGCTTGAATTGCATATTCGACATGGGGGCGAACATACGCACTGAGCATTGGTCAAAATATGGAGCTGTTTATTTGTCCAAACGCCCGCCTCAATAGCCCGAGGTGTTGGTTCCCGGTCTTCGAGGCTCTTTCGGATTGCCTGGAGCAACCCAAGTCATCTTGAACCAGGACACCCAAGTCACGTTCGTGATTTGATTGTTGCAGTACATCCGTTCCGAGTCGGTATGAGTAGCTGCTTTGATGTCGGATGGAAAGCACCTTGCATTTACTGATGTTGAAATGCAATAAGTTTTGGGTCGACCATTGATACACCGTAGCTAAATCACTCTGAAGCACAAGTTGGTCGGTGTTCGCCTGGATCCCGCGTCAGATCTTGATATCGTCGGCAAACGTTAGGAAGTTTGAAGCGATTCCCTGTGCAAGGTCATTAATAAACACCAAAAACAAACGTGGACCTAGAACCGAGCCTTGCAGCGCACCACACTCCACTTGTATGGGGTCCGATAAAGAGCTCCGAACTCTGACCACTAATTGCCGTTGAAATAGAAAGTTGGCGATCCAAAGGCCTGAGACACAGGGATGAAGCACACCATGCTTGCACCTTGGTCTCGAAAACTGGAGCAGCGAGATGATCTATCCCAAAAATTCAATGAACATGTACAAGCGCATAAAGCAACTTTAGAATTATATTGCCAGTAAATCTTCCAGTAATAAAGTGTTGCTTTGGTTGTCGGCATCCGCTTCTGGATTTGCCTGTCACTGTGACTTCCATAGGACAGCCACTGCACGCCTGCGCCACATGCAGAATACGCCAACTCGTCGTCGTAGCTCTGCCACGCGCACAATCTAATAACTCACTCTATAACTTTAAGGGACTGTTCCACTTTCCATCCCAACTCAAGTTGGAAGTCCTAAGATAGTTTAGCGGGCAGTTTCAAAGCGAATGGGGCAACATTTACCTACATTTCTCCTATAAACGGCGACACCTTTTCCACTCTATTTTACAACTAATTCAGAATACTGAGATGAGAGACAACCAGACATGCAACATCACCCGCTGAACTATCGTTAAAACGTTTTCCCCTTGTGTACGTTAACTATGGAATGCCCTCCCCAATATGTTGCTTCCACCCTTATATTAACAGGTTTAAAAAGCATCTTGCCATTGAAGCTACCCACATATTACGCGAAATAGAGATCGTGTACATTGCATTACGTTAAAATATGGCAAGCTGTGCAATACCCAGCATTCCGTATCACTATTATGATAGCCTGCTTTACCTAGTGTAGGGAGACAGGAGGCAGTGATTGCTCGGAGAAAAGAAAGACCACTAAACCCGGGGCGGAGGAAAAGGAGGACAGGCGCAATGAGGGGGAGCAGACGGTGCAACACTGGTCTGACGGAACGAAACGAAAACGGGGCACGAACAGCATCTGGTAGTGAGCCTCAACCAGGCAGAATGGGTAGGGTATTTGTCGAGAACTCAATACATAAGACAAAACAGCCGTTATTACAGCCTCTCGGACCAACCCCAAGCAGAGTGATGTATCCAGGTTCAAGCAAATCACGAGCTATTGAAATTATCCGGGCCGGTCAGAATGGGACGCGTGGAATCGGAGATACGGGTGTGAAATTGGCAGCGAATACTTCATTACGAGTCCTGCAAAGTGCATGGATGTGTCGCGGGCGGAAGCCAGGAGAGATGGTGCGTCGTGAGAAGGAACTATGACTCATTAATATATATATATATGTATATATATATATATATATATATGTCCACGACCTGTTAACATATATTGTGCCATCAGAACCACGGCAGAAGAAAAAAATGGAGATTGGAATACGAATTGCGATTAAAAATGGGAAACGATTTTTGGTTTTACACACGCCATTTTAACTTTTTGTGTATTTCGTGTTTTTTGTGTGTAATAAAAGGGGATATAATGGTGGAGAAGATAGAAACACGAAGTGTGACTAACAAAATTGAAAACGATATTTTGGTTTTACACATGCCATTTTGAATTATTTTTATGAGCTTTTATGTGTATTAAAGGAGGGACCTAATGGCAGAGCAACATTGACGCCACTGATGTCTGTTGCGGACCATGACGTCCAATGTTTCCAACCACTGCGATTCAGCATCTCGTGGTCCCCAACCTGGAAGACGCACTGGTCCGACTGCCACCAAACTTGAGGTTGCCTTCTTCATGCTCCTTCTACAAGTCATTGGCTGTCCACCGGGGCACTTTTTCCAGTCGCTCGCTGGGAGTGCAAATAGCGCTCGACGTGGGAAGCGATGGACAAACGGGCTATGCGCAAAACGGAAGTGGTGCTATAGCTTGTGGTCGTAGCATTAAAAATTGTACTTCATTGCCACGTCGTTCTGGCTACCGTAGGACCTGGTGTGAACATTCATTTTGCGTCACATTTCTTATTTTCCATCTGTTGCTCCCGTAGTTTCCATTTCACAGGAAGTGCTACCCACTCGGTTCTTCCATCTTACTACTTCTGTGTTTGATTGTTTCCTCGCAACGGAAGCGTTTGGAGTTTTAAACGATTGAAATATTTTCGATTGCAAAATCATCAGCAAATTAAAAGGCGTAATGCTTAGCAATACGTCGCCCATTACTCAGACTGCGTGATAGTAGATATCATTTGCAATCATTTACTTCAACAACAGCTCATCACAGCACCAGAACTGAGCTTGATCAGTGGTACATACTGGTATAATTTATTGCTACTCATTTATACGTCTGAATGGGAGCTAAGTTGTCAACCGAGATCCGGCTAAAGGCAGCAAGCGAACGGCCGAAGGTCGTAAGCAATTCGATGGAATTTGCAAACGCTGCAAATTCTTTATCTGCACAGTCCTGCGGAGAGACCGACACAACAACGCCCACCGTACACAACAGGACAGAGCACAGCACGAGTGAAACGTCTGTTCAGGAACGCTCAATAGTGGCATGCAACTTGACTGAAATTCATAAACCAAAAAACGATTAATGGCCGGCCACCTAACAGCCGGCTTAAAAACTAACACAAAGTTGACATCCATCAACGTACTCCTAACAACAAAAGCTCTATCTTGCATGTACACAAATGCCCAAGGCCTTCTAAATAAGTTGGCCGAAATTAGAGAACTCCATGCCTCACAAACGCGGGAGCTCTTCATGATTACAGAGACATGGTTAAACCCTGCGATAACCGATTCTGAGATCAATTTACCCGGTATATCGCTGCTTCGGACCGATAGAACCGGAAAGGGTGGCGGTATGATTCTTTACTATAATACAAACCTCCGATGTGAAGTTGTCGATCACCCGGAAATCTGAGCTCCTGATTCACTTTGGTGCCGCCTATGGTTGCGAAACAAGGACACATGTCTACTAGCCGTGATTTACCGCCCACCAAACTGAACGTCGGAAATGGACGCCAAACTGAACCACGTTTTTCAGTTTGCTTTGAACAAGTTCTACACCCACATTCTTATCGCTGGAGACTTTAACGTGCACGACATAGAAACGCCGGCAACCGACGGTACGCAGTTTCAAGCCTGCTTGCAGGAGCTAATTGCTAGCCACCCTCTGTACAACCACGTAACCTCTCCCACCAGATTTCGAACCACAAACAAACTGTCGATACTGGATCTTGTGCTAACTAACGAAGAACTCATGTTTGACGGGATAGTTACAAGCACACCACTGGGTCGTAGTGATCATGTTACTCTACTCTTTGACTATATATGCTATGCGGAAAATCCTGAAAAGGAGGATGATAAAGTACATATTGTCACGTACTACAACGTGTTATCTAAGCTTGTTAAGGATACATGTTGGACTTTCTTAATCGAATTCCCCCCAGATGTTGCCTGGGAAACCTTTACAAGAACGTTTAGCACACTGGTTACGCATGCATCGGAACAGAAGTCCTTCCAACCCAAAAACAAGCGTAAGTCATTTCTGAGGAGCAGAACACGTAAATGTATGTCCCGGAGGGATTTGGCATGGCGAGATCACAAGAACTGCTCGAATGCCGAAACCTGGACTGCATACGTGACACATCGTAACTTCTGTGTGAAACTGATCCGCGAAGACAGTCAAGCATCAGCAGGAGTTAATGAAGCGATTCTGCACGAACCGCAAACTTCTGTATAGGCACGTTAACAGCCTTCGAAAGGTGAAGCGGGGGATTCCAGCACTAGTCACGGCTGATGGGTGCACGCGATCAGCAATGAAAGCAGCTGATCTTCTACGGCTTCATTAGTCCCAAACTTTCCAGCAGGTAACGAGCCCAAACATTCTCCTCATTTCTACTACTCCACCATCTGGTTTAGAAAACATCACCTTCACTGCGGAAGCTATGTTGAAAAAGTTGTTATCCTTACATATCCACAGTTCTCCTGGAGTCGACAACATCCGACCAAAGGCTCTGCAGGCGGTAGCTAGTGATCTAGCAGAACCACTGGCTGTTTTCTATCAGTGATGTCTAGAAGAGAACCATATTCCACCAGTATGGAAGCGAGGGGTCATCACTCCTATCCATAAAGGAGGTAGCCGCACTGATCCTGTCAACTACCGTCCAATAACACTACTTCATGTACTATCCAAAGTGATGGAATCAATCATCGCAGATGCGCCGATGCAGTATCTGGAAAGCCACAATTAAATAACCTCAGAGCAACATGGCTTTCGTAAAAAGCATTCGTGTAATACTAACCTATTAATTGCACGTAATAGCTGGACTGAAGCTGTTGATGATGGAGCAGGTGTCGATGTCATCTACCTGGACTTTTCAAAAGCATTTTATCGTTTAGACCATCGGATTCTCCTTCACAAGCTTCGGAATTACGGCATTAGCGACCGGATCCTGAGTTAGATTAGCAATTTTCTACACGATCGGTGGCTAGTGGTGGGAGTCCGAGAATCATTTTCTGATGCAATCGATGTGGCGTGTGGAGTACCACAAGGCTCGGTTTTTGGACCTCGTCTATTATTGGTGTTCATCAACGATTTGGCGAGGTCAATTGCTTCCGATTTCATATTTTTCGCTGATGATATCAAGATATGACGAAGGGTCAGAGGACCAGACGACCACAAACGGCTGCAGTGCGATCTTAACACAGTGTCGAACTGGTCAGTTAGAAACGCCCTGCCATTAGACGTGGACAAATGTCGCGTTGTACAATTACGCCATAGGCATAACTACACCTATTTACTTGGGACAAACTGATTGCAGACCAGCTCCCAGGAACTTGACCTTGGTGTGATCGTACAGAGCGACCTCAACTCTGCAAAACAGGCTGAGGTAGCTGCAAAAAGATGCAACCAGCACGTCGGCATGCTGCGAAGGCATTCGGGAGATTTGACCCATCAATCTTCCCAATGATGCACAATTCCTACGTGCGCCCGCATGTTGAATACGCAATCCAAACTTGGTAACCTTGGTTGAAGCGCGACCTAGAAACGTTAGAAGCACCACAACGAAGAGCAACAAAGAACGTAAAGGGCCTGCGCCATCACCCTTACCACCGAAGGTTGAAGTTGCTGGGAATTTTCAGCGGACGCTATCGAAGGCTGCGCGGAGATCTCATATTAGCGTATCAAATATTGAGTGACCCCAACCACGTGTGCAGCCATTTGCTGAAACTTAGCCACAACACGCAGCTCAGGGGTAACTGTTTAAATTGAAGGAACGATATAGCCGTCTAGAGTGTCGTCGGAGTTACTTTTCACTTCGGGTTTTCCAACCCTGGAACGAATTCCCAGTCTCAGTTGTATCCTCCGCTACATTGGAAGTTTCCAAAAAACGATTATATGTTGCTCTTAGCTCCCAGCATTTTGTTATCTAAACTCCTCTATTGTGAATTACGCCAAGCATGTTTTTCAACAGGATTTGTGTATCAAAAGGACCCAAGTGAGCGACCATATTTTACCTTTCTCACGCCTTATATCAACGATCACTGCACCCCAGTGTATTTCTGAACGTTTAACTTTGATTTTCTAAATTTCACACTGATGTTATTTATAAAAGTATTCATCTCGGCAGACGTTCGGTAGATGACCCAGATATATTTTGATTTCATCATATTCACCCCAACCATCCTACGGGACGTGTCAAGCACTTGCTTGATAAATCATTATTCATTGTTGTTTAAGATCCACATTTATTGCTACGTATTTGGTCATATTGGGACAGTAGTGAGTATTCGAATTTAGCCTATGAAATGGCACAATTTGGGCAGTATGAAGAAACTGATTTCAAACAAATTAACTTGCCATCCGTTCTGTCGTTGCGCTTCTGTTCTAATTTTCTTGCCCCATAATAGTTCTTCCCGACGGCGTTAGCGGAGCAATTTGTTTCCTCGAACACTGAAGCAGAGAAACTTGTGGTACCACTGGAGTCTACCATCTCCACTGGCTTCGAACTCCCCAGAGGTGACTTACACGGTTGTTTGGCCATTACCTTGTTTGACTTCTTCTTTTGTGTCGGTTCTGTCGAAGCCTGTTACATATTAATTAACACGTAAAACTCTTAGTTCCACTTTATGAGGGTAATGAGTTTATCTTACTGATATTCGATCATTTAACATTCCTCTGCAGAAGAGGCATATTTTTGAAACAATAGTACAATGGCATAATACGGATAAAAAAGCCAACGCTTGACTAGTCCCGTGGGATGGTTTGTGCGAAAAACGTTAGTTCGAAAAAAGCTGCGCAAAAGTGAAAAAACGCATAAGTGGACTCATCATATTATCCACGTTAACACAAATGTCTATCCGTCTACCCCGACTTCGTGGGGTTGGTGAACACAATGTTTGTCTGCGCCAAATCATCACTCAGTGAACAGAAATCAGATCAAGTAAAGTAGATGGTGTAAAGCATGGTCGAGTCACTTTTTTAAAACGAGTAGCGTGGGCGCGGAGCTGACAAAAGTCTAAAGAGCGTTTCATGGTTGACAGACTCGAAGGGAAAAATAATTCCGGCGGCGTTCCAGCCGACTGTATTGCTTGAGCCCTCAATTCTGTTTTGCGGCTAAGCTTCAGGAGGTGGGGGCAGGCGTGCTTGGGGTATTTCAAAACTTGGAACGCCAGGATGAGGTCACCGCGCAGACTGATATCTTCCGTTGTGCACTCTTAGGGCTTTCAGTTGACTATGGTATTGCATGTTGGACAACCCCTTCAAATTTTTCGTTGCCCTTCGCTGGGCGTTCTTAAGCGCAGCCAGATCGCGTTTTGACCATAGTTACCAAGCCTAGATTGCGTGCTCTACATGGGGCCTCATGTATCTATTGAGCATTTGGGGAACGACGGAGTGATCGAACCGCCCGAACGGCCTCCATAACAGACCATCATGTTGGTTCGCAGTATTGGACACCTTCAAGGACTGCGCCAAACATCCGAGACGGTTTTCAGCATGTCGTCTCCAAGCTTATATGCGGAGGTGGGCTTGTGACATATATACACAGTTTTGCACTTGTCCACGTTAAACTCAAGAAGATTTGTCTTTGACCATTCAAAGGTGCGGTCTAGGTCCCGTTACAGCATATCATGATCTTCCTGACAGCCGATTGCCCGCCATCTCTTGATGTCATCCGCAAAAAGCAGGAAAGTTGACTTGATAACATTTGCCAGGTCGTTAATGAAGAGTAAGAATAACCGCGGCCCCAACACTGACCCTTGTGAAACACCGCAGTCCACATTATCTAGATCAGAAAATGGGCTCTGAACTCGAACCTGAAGACACCGCTGAAAAAGGAAGTTTCCTATCTATTCAAGGTCAGGGTTCCCAACTTCGTACGCTTGCAGCTTTTGGAGAAGGATAAGTGATCTATGCGGTCGAAGACTTTAAAAAAGTAGAGATAGATGACATCAATGCCGGTCTCACTGTCAGCTATCTCGGTCCAACTGCCACGGACAATAAGTAGGTTGGTAGTACATGGCCGGTGCTGACGTTATCCGTGTTGCTTCGGTGCTATGATGTTTTGCGTTTTGAAGTAGCCCATTACAGCCTCAGCTATGATCGATTCCACTACCGCTATTAAACATCGGGGTAATGAGGTCTTGCTTCCACAAGTTAGGGACCTGCTGTTCTTCTAGGAATCTTTGAAAAAAATCTCCTTAATCGTACAGCTATCCTCGTAGATACCACCTGCAATGCCTTCGGGGGATTGTTGTCAACACCGGGGGGAGGGGGACTATGGGTGTGCAACGATAGCAGCTTCCTCAACATAGTCGCCAAACTAAAGGTGACGTGTGCAAATACTGGCGACTTGAAGACTGCAACAGGTATGTTACACATGCTGATAACACGTCGGAAAATTGGAGTATATTGGAGCCGTAGAACGTTGGCTGTATCCTCAGCGGGTTGAGCGCATCCGTCCGCTGATATTAGTAGTTTCACATTCACGTTTCACATTTCGTAGGCTGTTCACATGTCTGTACATAAACGTTTTGTCAGCACAAAGCGTATCAGCTAGACTGCTGGTGTACTAATTTGTCCTTACGCACAAGTGTGGTACAGGGATTACGATGCACAACATAGTTACTCCAGTTGTTAGGGCTAGAATTCGCTATGCACACATGCCAAGCTGCGTCTCTTACTGTCATATGTTTCCGGGTTCTGCTCCGAATGAATGATGGTGCTCTTGCGGAACGAAGGGGCTTGTTGACCGATGCATACTTAATCAAATCACTGAACTTGCCAGTAAACTTCATCCAAGCACTGTCAATGGAAGTATCGTCCGAGAACTCGCAGATGGCATCTCTCACAAGTTCTGCCCATATGTCATAGTGGGTGGTTGTTCGAAACGAGTTAGTATGTTCTTGTGGATAGTCCGCATAACATACGAAGCAGCAAACTAGGGTTACGCGGTAGCTCCTCTCCAGAGGACTCTCCGTCCTTGGTTTCTCAATCATGAGTTCTTCGTTCGTGAGCACTAAATCAAGCACAGATGGTTTATTTCCGGCTCTGAATTGAGTCGGCGAACTGACATGGCTGAAGAGCGGAATGCTTGCAATACATTCTTGCAGGTCGGCCTTAAATTGCTCATTGGGGGTTATCGGAACTTTCGAATTGTGAATATTGAAGTCGCCAGAGATGAGAACATGACTGTATAGTCGCCGTAGGACACTACTCAAGGCTAATGTCAGGCAGGAGTCCATTTCTGGGGTGGACATTGGGGAACGATAAACAACGGCCAAAAACCAAGTCTCGTTGCCTGTCGGTCGCAGACTGCACCAGACTGAGTCTGTTATCATCATTACCCGATCGACCGCCGGTTCGCACTGCAGGTCACTGAGATAGTATAACATTACCACCGCCCTTGTTTTGGCGAAGGAGAAGGGACATACCATTTATAATGACCTCGATGTCGGTAATTTCTGAGTGCAACCAAATTTCCGTGGCGAATATGAGGTCTCATGTATGTGATGCTTGAAGTAGCCGCAGTTCGGCAAGTTTGTTCTGACCTTGTGCACTGGTCTACATGCAGGAAAGTTTCATCGTTCTTAGCAGTGAATCGTGGGGTGCGTGTTTTGGGTAAAGTGTTGTGCCAACCGGTAAAAGGTCGGCCACTAAACGTTTTTGGGTGGGGCAATGACGAACTCATTTGTGTCGGATCCATGGATCCCAACATTACCTCGTTGCTTCTCTATTTGCATGTTTGCCTGTTTCGTCGACTAGTTGTTACCCGAACTCTTATCGGAAAGTGTTCCGACTAAGTGGCTGCTCTCGCGTGTTTGCTTAGCGTATGTTGCTTTGATCCGGAGCTCGGAAAGAAGGCTACTGAAGCACGCATACCGCCTTTGCTGACATTTGTCTAGGTTGAAGGACCACTTTCACAATCCTCGGGCCACATCGTTTGTAGTTTGACCATGGGCGCAGCCTCGAGACAGATTGCACTATGACATTTTCCAGGGAGAGGGTCTCGCGAATGTATCGGCATTATTCATGGTCGTGAGCTGTAGCTTCGCGCTCATCATGATATCCAGCCTCAGGAACGCCGTGTACCAAAATGGTCCTGGCTACCGATTACTACTGATTTTGGCCCAAGTAGTACTTCGCCTGTCTGCGCTCGCCTCACGGAATATCCGGGAATAGTCAGATGGAACGTGACCCATTCCGGAGGCAGGCTCCCGATAATAGAACATCTATCTCATTGGCGAAAGTCAACACAACTCGGAGAATTCTTGATTCACCGTAGCGCTGTGAGTTTGGGTAAACAGTAACGTGTGTAATTGACGGGCTTACCTACAAGCCTATAATGTCACAAATAGAGCTCCTTTAATTCACATCATCAAGCTGTTTTCCTTTTGAGGAATTTGTCTTCGGTTTTGGAACATTGGTACAGAATTGCCGCTGGTATGCTACGTGTAACTCAGGTTGAGGTTAAACGACCAGCTTGTCTGTATACAGCCGATGGAGGCTGTTTGAGTACAGCTACGTCTTCTTCATTTAACCTGGGTCCTGTGTGAATGGCCAAGAGTCTAGGTTTTCGGTTACCTTTGTCAGCAACCGAATTCCAACAACCACTGGTGTTAAAGTCCTTCTGCAGTTTCGGAACCGTTTGGAGGGTGGCAAGGGCCCAAACCATACTCATTGCTTTCGGACTGGCGGTGGTTGTTTCAGGCATATTCGAGCAACTGGTAGTATTGAGGTTTCAATCTAAAGATGGTACATTTTTAACGCGCTACCCAACCTTCTTCCTCAGTTTTAATGCGGGGCATGGTGGGAATCACTGGGATTTACTCTCTGCCACGCTTGCTACAAATTCATTCATTTGTTCAATCATTGCCACCAGTTTTTCGTACTTCTGCGACAGCTCATGTAGCATCTTTATTAGTGGTATGGCTGTACATACTTAACAGAACTACAGTGAACCTGGTTTCCTAGTATTTAGCTGCAACTGCTTCACTGTGAGCTTGTGACATTAGCGAGGAAACTTGCTAAGGCAATTACTACACTGGATTCCGATTCTCACCTTTTATGGCAGGAAGGAAGGCCAAGACCTACTATCGATCTGGATGCGGTAACCTTGGCTTTGGTTTGGTCGCCACAATCTATTGCGTTGATCGATGCCACTCCGATCAAGGCCTGAGCGCTTATGGTTTACTGCGGGTCGCGTGTACGCTGAATTGTCTGTAGGTTCAAGGTCGTCGAGTTCTGTGCGTCTGGACGGGCAGGTTTAAGCGGCTAACTCTACACGGCAAGCAGGACGACTGAGCGATACGGACACAGAGTGTACGGTAGTTAATTTGATAAATGGTCCACAGCTGTGGTTGCTGCCTCATCGAATGAGACGTGGGGTTGGTTTTCGTTTGAGACCGCAAATATTGTTGGGTGGTACGTAATTCGGAATATTCCTCGATTGTATTTTCGCCGGGAATGGTGCGAAAACCGCAATGTGGAGATAAAAGGCGATCCATCCAAGCTAGATCCGACAGATTGTATGCACTAGATAGCGTTGATGCAACTGGATCTAGTACGTGTGAACACACGTTTGTG